GGGGCCACGAAGAGTCGGACACGACTTAATGACTGAACAACAACAACAAAAATGATTTAGCCCTAAACAGGAGTAACTTAACTTCCCAATCAACTAACACTGCGTGATGCAAACTCCTTACCAATTACTACTTCTGATATCCATGGTTGATACAATGCTTACACTGCACAGAGAGCAGTTAGCTAAGTGGGGAGCTAGTTTAACCCTAGATGGCAGCACCTAACCAATCTTGGCTCATCTTGAAAAGCTAAATGGGGTCAGGGCTGATTAATATTTGGATGGGTTGTAGATTAGCCTCAGAAGTCAAAGAAGCAACCTGAAAAGAGGCGGAGTTCCTTCTAATGGGGAAGTGGAGGCACAGCATCTTTTTTAAAACTAGTTTTCAGCAGTATTTTAGTCTTGTCTGGACTGACTTCCTGATCGCATATAATTTATATAAATAGGAGCTTATATCTTTTCAGTGCACTACTGCTATCCAATTTGGAAAACACAGTCTTGATAGGATATAGTGACATCCTTTCAATAATTTCTGTTTTATGTTTTTAATGTTTTATGTGGTTTTTTTTTTAACCTTTTTTTTTTCAGGAGATAAGCTGATATATAACTTCCGTAGTCCAGTACTTCCTTAAGCACTTGTACATGTGAGAGAGCATTGGAGTGTGGGAGGGGTTGTCATTTAAATAATTGCAAAGCACATCATTTACAGTATTGCTTCATACTACAAATTCAGAAAATAGGCTTCTCTTTTTGGTGCTCCTAATAATTCTCAGCCCAGTCAGGTGGCGGTGCGTAACCAACCTTGACTGATTTTGAAAAGCAAAGCAGGGTGGTTCTACATGTTCTCTGGCATGGATCTTATTAGCACATGAAAATCCCAGAGCTGTAAGCTAAACAGAAATGTTGAAACAACATTCCAGAAGATGATGGCAAGCAAGGTCCATACTGTTGCTGAGAAAACTATTACCAAAATAAAAATTCCAGCCATCCAGGTTTCAGTCCTTACATTCTTCCAATGTAAACATTAAGGGTGTATTGGGCAGAGGATCCAAATTGGCAGCACATGGTTCAAGTTCATCCTTGACACAGAAAATCTTCATCTTATTTCTTCCCATCCACAGGCCCACTATTAAACATTTAAATACAGCTGCAGGGTCCTTGGGGTTCTCTGAGCTTGGTTGTTTTCTAGCACTGAAGATGCTACCTAGCTGGGTATCGAAACGTTTGCAAGAAAACAGCCAAACTCAGAGAACCCCAAGGACTCCACAGTTCAACCCTCAGCTACAGAGATTCTCTTCTATAAATACAGCTACTTCCTAGCCTAATCTTTTTGTAATTAAAGTTACGAGTCCTAGTGTAACATCTCAGTTTCTTTGTACTATTGTCTTACAGGGTTTTCACCACCAGGAATGGACAGATCATCACCCGACAAAAGTCCAGTGCATGGCCTTCTCCGTCAGCCCTCCATTACAACAGGAATTGATATCCCTATTATTACGGAATTAGGTAAGCCCGGATGGGATCTTTTCTGTACCTATTTTCTTTTTGTTTTCCACAACCTAGGGAAACGAAGCTGTAAACATGGTTTATTTAAGTTAAGGTGTAGAATTTTCTTGTGAAGGATGTGTGTGTGAACATACACACACTCATGTAAACAAGCACACAGACATACACAGAGTGCCAGTATGATATCGTGGCTAAAATGCTGGACTAGCAGCAGAGAGACTCAGGCTCTAGTGTTCCCTTAAGCATGGAAGCCAACTGGGTGATTCTGAGGCAGTCACTTTCTCAGCCCAACAACATCACAACTGGTGGTGTGTAAAGATTAAAGGAATGGACTAGGAACAGAGAGACCCAGTTTCCAATGTGGAATGGCATGGAAATCAACTGGAAGAGTTTGGGCCAGTCGCTCTCTCTCAGCCCTAGACTGGAAGTCAGAAAAGTCTATTGTCCAACCAGCATGGTAGGTGATGGTCTATAACCTTCACGAAGAGGACTTCTTCCTGTAGTGGCTTGATAGTAATAACACATATACATACAAGCAAACATATCCACACATACTGTACATACAAAGAGACACACACATATACACAATCATTGAGCAAGCTCCTTTTTTAAAGCGCTATCATAATTTTACTTCTTCCCTTGCTTGGTAGCAATCTACACAATTGTAGGATTGAGTCTATATGGCAAAAGATTACACAGTAGGACTAGAGCATATTTTGTTCTTTTACTGGCCTTAGTCTAGGCTCAGAAAGACCCAGAATGGCATTTGGCTCTTGCCCCTGGTGCCCTTGGCGGTAGATTGAGGATTGAGGTGACACTTTTGACTTAGAGGAAATGCAACCAATTGCCTTCCTCCCTGCATGTTGAAAGCCAAGAAAGTCTTCTTTGTTCATCCCTTTGCTGTTATGCTAACAAATTAATTATTAATTTCTGCCATAATAGCATTGAGAATGCCGCCACTTCACTCATTCTCATTTCTCCTGTGCGAATTCTGCAAGCCATTCTGTTTCTGATAGTAAAGGCAAGCTTCATTTGTGGTCCTTTCCTCCTTTTATTGTCTTCCCCTTTCATTTTAAGCTTTATTTGTCTTACTCCCTTATTTTATTCTTTTTCTCTGCTTTCTCCTCCCCCACCTCCC